AAGCACCAGTTTTCAAATAAAAAAGAATCATCAAAATCAGTTCTCCCAGTAAGAAGTTATAAGGTAACGCACATAAAAAACACAATCGAATTGAGTACCGGCTCCTTTTTGAAGTCGGTAGAATATTGATTGACTCAAAGTGGTACAGTCCGTACGGATGAAGAATGGGATTAGAAATGGCGACTCATCGGGCCCGTACTTATTTATTCTGTGCCCGTACCGTCAACATGCACAGTACCAATAGCGTAAACCCGCCACCACTAATAACGGTATTTCGTTATAGCGTTATATTATTCGGTTAGTTAGAAATTTTCTATTAATGGAAGAATATTTATTTTACAATAATTATATAACCATGTAGGTATATTGATTTACAAATAACATTTATACTTGCTCTGGCTTCGATTGGGTCGGATCTATTAATGTGGCGTCATTTAGGATTAGGATATTCATTAAGCACTATTTATTTTTTCTTATCAATATTACTATTATAATAAAAGCTCTAACTTTTTCAGATAAAATTTAGTCTAGATCACTCCTGCTTGCTCTCTATTTGTTCGTGAAGTTTTATTACAATCGGTTGAGCTATTCCGAACATTAGCTGGGACAGACTGACAAACGTTACTCATGTCTCAATGGCATCTAAATTATTTTAAACAAAAATATTATTAACAATACTAAATGATTGACTGTAGTTTATGGCATTTTATTGATTTCAGTGACAAGTTGGACTGAAGTTATAGCACGTACCGAAAACGCATATCGCAACGTATATGTATTTTTTTTGCAGTCTTTACCACCGGGTGTGAGTATAGATAGCCACAGTGTGCGAGCGAGAGGTGAAAAGAGGCTACGCCATTTTCAACCCCATTCTTTAACCGCACGGGTAATATATAAGATATGCGGTAGATTGCATAAACACGAATAATTTAATATAAATAGGTAAGCTATGAAATCGTGGATTGGATGAATATATGAATGAATTGGATATGACAATTTTATTCACTGTAGTTAATTTTCTGTTCCTCAAGGAATATTAGTATTCAGTATTTAAGAACAATCATTTCGACATAAAATATCTATTACCACAGCACTAACTATTGTCCCCTCTTACGACACCCAGGAGACCATTGAACACAGACGATACCTGTTCTTTGTTCTGAGCACGGGACGAAATAGAGTGCAATTTTACATGGCAATTCAGTTTATGCAATTGTTATTATTAAGTACTACCATTTTTATTTCGTTTTCTTGTCCTACACCGATAAACAATATTTCAATTTCAAGAACAGAAGCCGATAACGTAAAAAAAAAACTCCATCAATCACGAATCCAATAAAATAAAATAAACAAACAATATTTCAAATGTTATCTCCGTAGAAACGAATTCTTTATTTATTTACGAGCGTCTAAAGAACATATGCAATCCATCGCCACCATTACAAACAGCGCGCGAAAGCCGTTGCGTTCCATTTTACTGCAGTAGTGGTGTCAAGTTCTGGAATAAAAATGATATAAACAACTGGTGTTTTCGTTAAAAATCACTTGCTTATCTGAGAATAACGTTAACGTTGAAAAGAAAAATCGATTTTAACCCAGTTGAACATTGGGGTTAATTTCACCCTTTCCTAATCCGATGTAATTCTAACTCCAGTACATTTAACACATTTTTATTAATTAATAGAATCAGATGTTACTTTGCGGAAATCAATTATATTATAGATGTTAAGAATTAATAAACTAAGATCCGCATTAAAATAAAATAAAAATGGTGTTTTTTTACCTACTTTGAAGATCACTTCCCGCCCTCCCTCAATTGCGTGCACTATCTCCGTCACCACTAATCTCAACACCACAACTCCCAGCACCACTACACTAGGAAAGACACACCACCGTCGATAATACGACACGTGTTTCGAATATGCGATGACTGACCCATAACATAAGTAAAATACAATTAAGGTATCTCATTTTTAAATAAATTATTAAATTATTTATTTACATATAAACACAAAAGTAATATATTTATTACAGTAGTAAAAAATACTAAAAACTTTAATTATCACACAGTCATAGTCTCCGTAGTATAGTGCCAGGAACGTTTGCTGCGTTTTCACGCTGATTTTTTTTAAAACGTTACCCCCACACTTGGACTTTCTCTTGTATCGTGGAGGCAGTTTACAAACATAAATTGCATGAGCACACATCCAGACACGGAACAATTAAATGCTTCCGAACCCGCGGACTCCAGCGCAACAACTCATTGCTAAGCCACTGCGCCATGAAGCCGTCAGCAAGCCTAGCTGACGGCTGGCTAATGTAATTGGATATGAATGACTATTACATACCCTATTACATTATATAACCCTTGAGTGAGAAAAGAACCGGCTCTCTTTTCACCAACGGCGACAACTAGACCCGAATACAGAGCCTTTAGGAACTTCAAATAAAATTTTTCAGGAGGTCATCTATCATGATGAACTTGAACACTGTTGCGAGCTTCTGGTTCGAGACAATTAAAAACTGCAGTTAATTATCAAAATGGACACTTTAATTACAAAAAACTAATTACAACTCATGGAAAATTCTAGAAGGATCTTGACTCTCCTAGTTCTGCCACTCGAAACTAGAGGGCGCTAGCGGTAACTAGTGTTGCCATGTACCAGGCATTAATAGTGGCGATCAACAATAACACAGGCCACGCAGAAAGATTTGCGGTAAAGTTTCCTACAATGAACTTAGCTAGAGGCATTCTTTAAAGTCGGCTTTACTTTAAATTTAAAGTAAAGCCGACTTTAAAGAATGCCTCTAGCTAAGTTCATTGTAGGAAACATTGCTGCAAAAAAAATACATATACGTTGCGATATGCGTTTTCGGTACGTGCTATAACTTCAGTCCAACTTGTCACTGAAATCAATAAAATGCCATAAACTACAGTCAATCATTTAGTATTGTTAATAATATTTTTGATTAAAATAATTTAGATGCCATTGAGACATGAGTAACGTTTGTCAGTCTGTCCCAGCTAATGTTCGGAATAGCTCAACCGATTGTAATAAAACTTCACGAACAAATAGAGAGCAAGCAGGAGTGATCTAGACTAAATTTTATCTGAAAAAGTTAGAGCTTTTATTATAATAGTAATATTGATAAGAAAAAATAAATAGTGCTTAATGAATATCCTAATCCTAAATGACGCCACATTAATAGATCCGACCCAATCGAAGCCAGAGCAAGTATAAATGTTATTTGTAAATCAATATACCTACATGGTTATATAATTATTGTAAAATAAATATTCTTCCATTAATAGAAAATTTCTAACTAACCGAATAATATAACGCTATAACGAAATACCGTTATTAGTGGTGGCGGGTTTACGCTATTGGTACTGTGCATGTTGACGGTACGGGCACAGAATAAATAAGTACGGGCTCGATGAGTCGCCATTTCTAATCCCATTCTTCATCCGTACGGACTGTACCACTTTGAGTCAATCAATATTCTACCGACTTCAAAAAGGAGCCGGTACTCAATTCGATTGTGTTTTTTATGTGCGTTACCTTATAACTTCTTACTGGGAGAACTGATTTTGATGATTCTTTTTTATTTGAAAACTGGTGGAACTGGAACCCGAGGACTCCAGCGCAACAACTCATTGCTAAGCCACTGCGCCATGAAGCCGTCAGCTAGCCTAGCTGACGGCTGGCTAATGTAATTGGATATGAATGACTATTACATACCCTATTACATTATATAACCCTTGAGTGAGAAAAGAACCGGCTCTCTTTTCACCAACGGCGACAACTAGACCCGAATACAGAGCCTTTAGGAACTTCAAATAGAATTTTTCAGGAGGTCATCTATCATGATGAACTTGAACACTGTTGCGAGCTTCTGGTTCGAGACAATTAAAAACTGCAGTTAATTATCAAAATGGACACTTTAATTACAAAAAACTAATTACAACTCATGGAAAATTCTAGAAGGATCTTGACTCTCCTAGTTCTGCCACTCGAAACTAGAGGGCGCTAGCGGTAACTAGTGTTGCCATGTACCAGGCATTAATAGTGGCGATCAACAATAACACAGGCCACGCAGAAAGATTTGCGGAAAAAGTTTCCTACAATGAACTTAGCTAGAGGCATTCTTTAAAGTCGGCTTTACTTTAAATTTAAAGTAAAGCCGACTTTAAAGAACTAAAACTAATATATTTTACGTACGTACGTTTAGAGTATAGATGTAGCACGACTGGGTCGGCTCGACCGGGGAAGGACCACGCTCTCACAGAATGCCATCGTAAAATAGCAGCTTAATCCTGCTGTGTTTCGCATTGTGAGTGTAGAGAACTGGAGACCCTTTTTACTGGAAACGAGGCATTACATCTTAGTCCTCACGGGTGACAACGCATCTGCATTTTGATTCGTAATTGAGGATAGATGTAGATGTCTATTGGCCACAGCATCTACCTACCATCAGGTGGACTGTGTGCTCGTTTGTCACCCTAATTCTATAAAAAAAATATTATTTCCACATCAGCTTCAGAAGTCGGTGCTTAGATATAGTATGTAGTATCAAAGTCTTATTAAAACTTCATTCCTCATTTTTCCTAACTTTAAGGTAGAAATTTTTTCTCCAAATTTATGTAAAAAAAAAGAATCATTTAAATCGATTCACAATTGACGAAGAACCTTAGATAGAAACGATTAATATGAAAGTAATTGACGTATGAATGTAGGATCGGATTTGAGATGTATCACTTGTTAGGTTTACTGTTTATCTACCTAAAAATTGATATATCTTTTTAAATTGCTAACCGATTTACATGAAACAAACATCTAAATTGATTTAGTCATTGTGGAGTTTAATGTGCACAAGCACGCAGACAAGCAGACAAAAAATCTGTTTACGATTTCTTATGTGTATAGATTTTTAATTAAAGTATATATATATAATGTTAAAGTTTCGTGAAATTTCCTAAAATTTCCTAAAATTTGTAGATGAGCGACGGCGCGGCGTTGATGTTTGCCGATGAATTCAAACTCACGTTCGAGCGGTACTTGTTCGGGATCTGCCCGCAGAGTTACAAGGTAATTATGAGAATCGCAGCTGTTCACTAATTCATTTAAAACAAAACCGAAGTAGACACAATAAAAAAGAATCAGTATGAGATACAGTATAAGTTATTTCGTAGATAATAGGTATTACATAGATGTTAGATACATAATTATATAATCGAGTTCAATCATGTTCTAATCTGTGGACATACGAAGTACGAGTACAATAGCCTTGAGATACTATCGCCAACTGTCAGCTGTGTGCTGGCTCAAGTTGCCGTCAAAGTTTCCCAAGGGCCGCAATGTGACGCATCTACATATTGTAAAGCAGTGTACTGTGAAGGATAATTATACATTGTAACTTCAGGCTCAGAAGGGCTAGAACTCAGAGCCGTAAAGCCAGTTATAAAAAAAGAGTACAATATTTTGAAAGAAAAACGCTACAGGTGCGTTGTCGCCTCTGTGGACTAACGTGGAATGTCTCAGAGCCTGTAATTATTATTCCGGCTTTCCATACCCTTTAAACCGGAACACAGAAGTGCACTCACTTCTATTCGGCGGCAGAAATTTAAAGTATGTTACGATTGCCCTAAGCGAATTGTTTAGTGGTTATATTGCCATCTACCGTTACCGTGACAGCCTATTAAAGTACACTGCTGAACATAATCGTCCTCCTTTGGATTTGATCGGCAAGCGGGTTGGCGACGGGAGTTTTTTTATTTTTAGTCGTTATTAGGAAGACGCTGCTGCCTATCTCCTGATTTGTTTCCCTCTGTCGCCTCGTACGACACCCACGGTACGATACGGGATAGTGAATATTCTAACAACTCCGTCCATTTGGAATTAATTTTTCTGTCTTTTCCAATAGTTGCTCATTATGGCAACAATAACATTAAATAGGGTGATAGATTCTCTTACGTGGTGCGGTGGTCCACACAATCAATGTTTATTCACATCACTGCGATGTAAGAACAAGTCGATGATTAAACCGGATAAATATTCTCAGTCTCGTTGGTCGCAGATGCCCATCAGCGGTAAGGGGAAGAACACTACAACCCTCACATGCGACCTGGATGCTGATCAGGAGGACTTAGCTGGCAGGTAAGACTAAAGAAAGTTTGAGTTTGGAAAAGTATTAGAACAGAATATCTTAAAGGCATATTACACTACACGTAATTCAGAAATCCTAGTTAGGAATTACGAAAGTATGCTAATTTCGAGCTTCGGATTACGCTAATGCAGAATCCTAACTCAATCCGAGAGCAAAAGACTACGACCTTTAACTTTTAACAACGGCACCTGCTTTGTTTAAGCATCTAAAATAGGGCTTGCTCTGAGGGATTGCTCTAGCGTTAACGGTTAGCACAATTAAAATTAATTATAACAATATAAAATTAAAAATTTTGTACATTCGACTTCAATATAAATTATTAAGAATAACTCAAAAACTATTGGTCAGACCTTGATCAAATTTATATGGGACCACATGAGAAGCACCAGCTTTCAAATAATCAATCAATGAAAAATCTTTATTTTAAATTTAAAAAAAATCACCGAAATTGGTTCATCCAGTAATAAGTTATGAGGTAACACACATAAAAAAAATACAGTCGAATTGAGTACCGACTCCTTTTTGAAGTCGGTAGAAAAACGTAATTTAGATTGTACTGCGTGTACGCGTAATTCTTCTCAACTATTCACATTTTAAATACCTTTGTAAGTTAAAATATGAGAGCCAATGGATTTTCTACACAATTTAATAAATAATTATAAATATCAAAAAAAAACCCTTAGAAGCCTTTGCCTCTTAAATCTTTACACCAACAATTATGATGGTTTTTGTTTATAATGTAAAGAATTTATTTTTCGATTTCTAGTATATTCATGATTCCTTCATTCAGTTTCTACACAGCCTATAAAAAGACCGCTACTCAAGATAGGCGTCAGTTAGTTTTGACGTAAATAAGTCTTTAGAGAATAAGGGTAACAAACGAGCACACAGTCCACCTGATGTTAAGTGGTTGCTGTGGCCCATAGACATCACATTTATCCTCGATTACGAATCAAAATGCAGATGTGTTGTCACCCGTGAGGACTAAGATAGAACGCCCCGTTTCCAGTAAAAAGGGTCTCCGGTACTCTATACTCACTATACGAAACAGAGCAGCATTAAGCTGCTGTTTTACGCTGGTATTCTGTGAGAGCGTAGTCCTTCTCCGGTCGAGTCGACCCATTCGTGCTACAACTATACCAGTAATATGTATGGCTCTACCACGTAAAAAGTCTTTAAATTTGCTTCCATAGTGTGACGTAATTCAGAAAATTGATGATAACAAAATCGGGAGATACAGTTTGGTGTTCCAGCTACATATCTATCATCTATATTAAAAATTTGTAGCAAAAGAATCAAAGAATTCGTTACATTGAGCGAGGACTGTGAGGACTAGAACACCGCCATTTTGTGGTCGATTCGTTGGACATGTGTCATTCATTCATTTCAAGTGATCAGATAATTCAAGTATTGATTCGTCTTACGAACCGGGTCATTCGCTTCGATAATTAAAATATATCATTTCGAGATTCAGTACCCTGTGATCTGTGAGACCCACTCGATAATGTCGGGCATCAGATATTACTATACACTTCGGTTGTAGATTCTGTCAATCGTTTGATACGGAACGTTCAAAATCATTAATGCTTTGATGTGACCGGTGTCAAATGAATGAATCATTCACGAATAACACATGTAACACACTAACTTACAAGTATTCACAACACACGGCTGAGTCCACGACACAGCCACACTCCGATTTTTTTATTTTAAGATACGTGTGTCATCACTTGCCTAAGAAGACCCTGTTATATTAACCATTATGCGCAGTCTCTGGCAGAACAGCAAGAGTAATGGGCCTCCCGTTACTACTAAGTTTAGTCACAACTTATTATTAAGCTATTTTTAAGAGTAATTTTTGCGGTAAATAAATACTTTTTACTTAACTTTACTTTACCCCCACACAGATGGCCTCATATCCCTCCTATGTATTTGCTAGACGCCACTCTTGGCAAGCGGGTTGGTAACCGCATTTTTTTAAATTACTTATCAGGAATACGCTGCAGCCCCTCTCCTGGTTTGTTTCCCTCTGTCGCCTCTTACAACAATCACAGAACAATATGGGGTAGAGCATATTCTTCCACCACTACACCACTACACGGTGAATATATCATGTTGTTAATATTGCATCATTATAACAAAAATAAAGAAATTGTCTATGATTTCGACCAACAGACTGGCTACACTAGCGCTACGTGCACACTCTGCCTCTCGCTCAGATTGCTCGCGACTCGGCGTGGCGCTCGCGAACTCGCTCGGTGAACTTGCGCGCACGGCTGCTAACAGGCAGGCTTTCACAGCCGGTATGTTTCTAATTTAATTGATTTATACAGACGCTTCTAAAGAGCGATGACAATTTGAGCTGTGACGTACGGAGAACCTTATTCATTCACATGAAGTTCTAGATATTATTTTAATAGTTGACACCACTAAGGAATGCAATGTTACATTCAGTTGTGTAGAATGGGTGGCCCCCACCAGAGGCCGCAATAGCCAAAAATGACGCCGGATTTAAAAATAGTTTTCTATAGCCTTTGCGTATAATTTAAAAATAAATGAACATAACATAACAGCTGTCATAATTTTATACGTTTTTGCTACCCTTAACAAATGCCTCCATTGGCCTCTACTAGTTAGTCTGTGTTGGCCTCCATCATCTTGTACAGCCTATAAAAGTCTACTGCTGAACATACGCTTTTTCTATACAGGGTTATTTTTCAAAGAATATCCAAATTTTATATTTACATAAGTTCAAATATATAAATAATGATATACCGTTAAATAAGGCTTCTACTTTTATTTGAAATTATCCCGAATTGAATGTGATTTATGGGCAACAATAGGCATATGCGCGCTCCTCTGTGTGCAATTCAATTTACAATGTTTTTGCCGACCGAGCGGCCCTTACGAATGTGTGCGTGCGTAGTAAAATAGTTTCAGTTACAAATAATAGATAGAGGGAAAAAATATAATAGATGGTTGAAAAAAAGACTAAGTATGTTTCAAATAGAATAAAATGAAAAGAATGATTTTTATTAAATATTATTACATAATACTTATCGAAACTAAATTTTTTTATTTACCACTTGTTCGGAAAATACCTCCTCCCTAGGAAGAACCAGAAAGAAACTCAGCGGGACTTTCTTATTTTCACTTTACAATACTGTAGTTGGCAACCCTAGTCATTACATTTCACAGTCGATAAAAAAGTTCTATACTTATTGTTACAGCTGCAGCGAATGAGGCGATAAAGAAACGAAAGCTTTCAAAGAGCCAAAAGGCCAAGATCCAAGCAAAGCAACGGACAGCGCTAGCCGTAAAGAAGAAGGCAGCGGCCGCTGCTGCTGCAGCCGCCGCCAAGATGGCGTCTTGAACTAAAATGTAACGATATTATGTAAAAATTACTTTTTATTTTTATTCTTAATTATTGTTTGTAATACTGAGTATTAAAATTATTAATTTTGCATAACATGTATAATTATGTTAGAAATATATTTTATTTAGGTCCACAAAAAATTGATATGAGGCGGTAATTTGATAACCTTGAAAGGTGAGCTATGGAGGGTCTCCGTAAGGAAGACTATCTCTGTGTATGAAAAAGTGTCCGTCAAAATGCGTTAAATTAGGGTGGCCCTACCTGGGTAATTTAAGTCCAAAACCAAAGTCATATAAGGTTATTTTTAAAGAAATATTTTTAAGCTACGTGAATATTTCAAGTTTTGTATAGGTACTGTACTGTAATTACCTACTCTATATTATGTCAACAACAAATATATTAAATTTTTTAACTCGGCATACTTCAATCCATGAGCCAGCCGCTGCGCTGTGAGCAAAATTCTGTATGGATGATAATATTACGGCTGCAGCAGAAATTCAAAGGCTAAGAACTTCTTTTTAGTTTGTGGGATCGGCTCGAGAGGGGAATGGCCTCGCTTTCATAGAATACCCGTCTGATTTAGCAACATATCAATGATGTATATGGTGAGGAGCGACAGAAACTAAAATGGGAAGAAGTAAAAGGATACCGACGCATTTACGAGTATATGTAGTAGAAGTAGAACCATGCTATAGCTATATTATTTTTGTTGCTCGAGTAGATCAGCTCGACCGGAGAAGGACCACGCTCTCACAGAATACCAGCGTGAAACAGTAGAATAATGCTGCTGTATTTCGTGTGGTGAGTGTAGAGAACCGGAGACCCTTTTTATTGGAAACGAAGCTTTCATCTTAGTCCTCTCGGATGACAACGCATCTGTATTTTGATTTTTAATTGAAGATGAATGTAGGCGTATGTGGGCCACAGCATTCACTTACCATCGTATGGACTTTTACTTCCTTACCAATACTAAGGGTCTCTATTTATCTACACTCACCAAACGAAACAAATTAGTGTTACGAAAGAGCATGGTCGCTGTCCGGTACTTCACAGTCCACCCATACAACTATAATATAGCTGCAGCGTAGCTGTGCCATATTATACCCCTTTCATGGTACCGCGACATGATTGTGTAACTTTAAAAATAGTTAATTATTATATAATGTTGTAATTAAAAAATAATTATAATTTAATTAGCTAAGACCCACGTAATAAAATAAAATGATGTGTCTACCATAGTACAAAAAGCACCTCCGCCCTTTTCACCACCTACTTTACTTACTCACGCGGCTCTTGACTAATTACGAGTAGTTTAACATTTTTAATATAGATAATATAATTACGCAAAGCAATCCTATTCGTTATCTTTAATTTTTTAAGTTAATGTATTATATAGAATATATTAAATTTTATAATTACTAATTGTTAATAATTTAATATGTATGTTATTAAAATAAATTATTTTTATAAAAAAAAAAAACATAAATTAAATTCATTTGTCCGTTACAAATGTAACCTTTTACATTTATCCCTTTTGTTTTAGCGTGGTCCTTCCCCGGTCGAGCTGACCACGACCACGCTCTCACAAAATAACAGCGTAGAATATCAGCTCAAAGCTGCTGTGTTCCGTGCGGTGAGTGTAGAGATCCATTTTACTGGAAACAAGGCATTCCATGGTATCCTTCAGGGGTGACAAAACATCTGCATTTTGATTCTCTACTGAGGATAAATGTAGATGTCTATGGGCCACAGCATCCACTTACCATCAGAAGGGCTGTGTGTTTGCTTACCATCCTTAATCTACAAAAAAAAACTAAAAAGATGACGTGTGACTGTTGCGTGTGTCTACCCAGTGGTCTATACATTTATCAAAACAATGTAAGAAAATTTATCACTCCATTTTCTCCCGTGGGTGTAAGTAACATGGGGCTGTATGAGGAAACTCAAGGTCACCCAGCGAGCTATAGAGAGGGCTATGCTCGGAGTTTCTCTACGTGATAGACTTAAAAATGAGGATATCCGCGGTAGAACCAGAGTAACTTACATACCCGAACGGATTAGCAAGCTGAAGTGGCAAAGGGCTGGCCATATAGCTCCAAGAAACGACGAACATCCTCCTAATAAGAACGAAAAAACTCCGGTTGACAACCCCCGTGTCTACTGTCACAACTATGACAAGAATAACAATAGCGAACTCCCAAACAAATTTTAATTGGAACTTTTCCTTGCGTCTACAAATGAAAAATATGTAAAATATAGAGATTGAAATCTTAAACAAGTTTTTCTTCAGTCATAATACTGCAGGAATTCAAGAATTATAAATATTCCAGATTGAAAAAAATTCACATTAGATTAGGCTGTATGGTATAAGACCCTTGCATGCCTTAATTGGCGAATTATTAGTAGAACATCTATTCTAATAATAATAAGTCTATGGTGATTCGTTAAAGCAACAACAATAAGGGTACATACTAGCAGGGAATCCTAAAATAAGAACAAAATTCTTTTAGTTGAACTCATTATGCTTATGACGTTATACGGGGTACAATTGTACAAAATACAATAGCCATATTATTCTCACCTTTCTTTAACAGGGATGTTGCCTTTTTCCCATTCCATAGGCACCTCAATTGATGTGCTATTAGCGGAACAAAAAACCAAGTACCCTTTTGAAATACTTTATTTATACTGGGTTATTTTTCAAAGAATAGCCAAATTTTAAAAAGTTCAAATATATAAATAATGATATACCTTTAATGCAGTATTTGGAAATACGAATAAATAATGCTTCTTTTTGAAATTATCCCAAATTGAATGTGATTTATGGGCAACAATGTTACCTATAGATCGGCCCTTATATTGTTATGTGTGCATGCGCAGTAAAATCTGTTAAAATAATTCATTACCGTGCAATTTGATTTTAAAATATAAAAAGGACAATGTTTGGGATCATTTTTTATTTTCTTTTCACCGTCTGCCTATATTATGTACTTATAATATTTTTTTTAAAAACGTTACCCCCACACTAGGATTTTCTCCTGTATCGTGGAGGCAGTTTACAAACACAAATTGCACAAGGACAAACATCCAGACCCGGAACAATTATTTGTAGGCCATACAAATACTTGTTCCGTGCGGGATTCGAACCCGCGGCCCCCAGCGCAGCAACTCATTGCTAAGCCACTGCGCCACGAAGCCGTCAATATAATAAACATTTAGTTTCAGTAAACAGCCTGATGGGATGATGCATAGTATTAATTACTTTTTGTGACTTTTGACCAATCATTATTTTAAATATATTATTGTATTGTGTTATATTATATTTATATACATATATAAATATTTTAAATAACTATATTTATGTCGAATGATGATTCATTTCACTCTGCACATGACTTAGATGCGTTTTCCTCTTGTAATGATTTCACAAGGGATGACATGAAGTCCATTCGTGAGAAATTAAATAGTGCTTTCTTGCCTTCTACTAAATTTTTTGACATTTGTCATATAAATGCACAAAGTATTCCTAGCCATTTTTCAGATTTTGAAGTAGCTTTTTTACAAGAATGTATCCATGCTATTTTAATATCGGAGAGCTGGCTGAAACCGTCTATAAAGTTTAGTTCATATCCTTTAGGTAATTTTGTGCTTATTCGCAATGACAGGATTGAAAAAAGGCGTGGCGGTATTGCCATATATCTGCGAGCCACAATTCCTTACAAGGTTGTCTTAGGTTCTCCTTCTACTTATTCGGCCTCCTCTAAGTATTTATTTCTTGACATCAAGGGCATTAAGGCGATTCTAGGGGTAATGTACTGTCCTCCTAATGTTGACTTCTTTACGGCTCTAGAAACAGCCTTCGATACCGTTGGGTCTAAATACATGCGCTATATGATAATTGGAGACTTCAATACTGATTTACTGAGAAATAATTCTCGTGCTCATGAGTTTCATTATTGCTTCTTCAATAGATGACCAACTCTCCTTTCTAAACACCGTTATTCTGTGTCTCTATAACGTCCATGCACCAATTCATCAAGTAAGACTAAAGCGTCCTCCTGCCCCTTGGATGACTAAGGGCGTACGAGTGCCAATGCTGAGACGAGATTGGGCATATCAGAAATGCAAAAGAGTACGTACACAAAAGAACTGGTCTAACTAAATTGCTGAGAAACAGATGCAATCAGATGGTACGAAATGCTAAACGCCGTTAAATTCATGATAATGTTACGAGCTTGGGGTACAAGACAATTAAAAACTGCCGATTGAATTACCAAAATTGACACTTTAATTACAGAACACTAATTATAATTTAAAACCACACTAATAATAAAACAAAATTGTATTACTGATCACTTTAGTTCGAAGTTATATCACTTCGAAGTATTCGCTTATATCGCCAATTCAATACGGACTCGGTCGTGGTCTATACCGGCATTATATAGGGCCTCAGATAGTAACCAGAACCTTCTACTGTAGCGACATCTAGAATGTTCGAGTTCATATCGGTCCTGAAATTTCTAGAAGGATCTTGACTCTCCTAGTTCCGCTACTCGACACTAGAGGGCGCTGGTGGTAACTAGTGTTGCTATGTACAAGACATTAATAGTGGCGCGTAACAATGATATTAGGTCCTTACATATGAAATTGGCGTTTTGTACGGCAAGAATATAAAAACAACTTTTTTTTTGTAAAACTTATTTAATTAATCAAAGTATGCACCGTCGTTATCTATGCACTTTTGCCATCTCATAGTTCATTGATCCCTTTACTAAAAAAACCATAGGGGCGAGAATCAATAAACTCTTTGAAGGCGGCTTGGACTGCCGCATCGGAGTTGAATTTTTTTCCTTGTAAGAAGTTGTCCAAATTCCGGAAAAAATGGTAATCTGTTGGAGCAAAGTCAGGGGAGTACGGTGGTTGTCGCAGACATTCCAATTGTAGCTCATCTAGCTTAGTGGTTATTTGTTGTGCAGTGTGTGGTCTTGCGTTGTCAT